CCATGAGATGCTGGCCGTGGAGCCCATCAACGAGCTGCTGCGCGACAAGTGGCGCAAGTTCGGGGCCGTCTCCTTCTACATCAGCGTGGTCTCCTACCTCTGCGCCATGATCATCTTCACCCTTATCGCCTACTACCGCCCCATGGAAGGCACCGTGAGTCCCGCGGCCCTGTGCCTGCCATGGATGGTGCTTTCTGCTCCAGAGAAGAGCTGCTTGACCCAGCATGAGGGTGCTCAGCGTGGGACCCTGGGGCTGGGAGCGCCGGGGGGGGCCGGGGGGCTCCCACCACGCTGCTGACTTGTCCTCTCCCCGCAGCCCCCCTATCCGTACACCACCACCGTCGACTACCTGCGCCTGGCGGGCGAGATCGGCACCCTCTTCACCGGCGTCACGTTTTTCTCAAAGCGGGGACGGGGGTCCTCTCGCAGGCGTGGCTCGAGGGTGCCCTGCAGCATTGCGATGGGCTCTGGACTCCGCGACCAGCCCTGCCACGCGCAACTCGCTCCCCCCACATCCTGGCTCCTCTCTAACCTCTGCCTCTGTCCCCCAGATCAAGGATCTGTTCATGAAAAAGTGTCCGGGCATCAACTCCTTCTTCATAGATGGCTCCTTCCAGCTGCTCTAGTGAGTAGAGAAGCCCAAGGGTCTGCTGAGAGCTGGTGCGTCCCTGGGGCTTGCGAGGGGCCAGCAGTCGTCCTGCTGGCGGGGGACAGGCCAGCTGGTCCCCGTGCTGGGGTTCACACCGTGCTCTCCTCCAGCTTCATCTACTCAGTGCTGGTGATCATCACGGCCGGGCTCTACCTGGGCGGCATCGAGGCGTACCTGGCTGTCATGGTCTTTGCGCTGGTCTTAGGCTGGATGAACGCGCTCTACTTCACCAGGGGGCTCAAGCTCACTGGCACCTACAGCATCATGATCCAGAAGGTCAGGCGGCCACAGGGGTCTTCTTGCAGGGCAGGACCTGCTCCTGGTTAGGCACGTGGGGCCAAAAGGAGGATCCTTTGCCTTCTGGAGGGACGTTTAACTTCTGGGTGCGGCTCCGGTTCTTGTCCCTCATGGTCTTGTCCCTGGACAACCCCCAGGGAAGGGGTTTTCTCGGCTCCCCATCATGCACGGAGATGCACTGCGCTGGGAAGGACTGCTGTGCGTGGGAGCTGGGCACTGACCAGTCCCCCGGGACCGGCCGGTCTCTCACGGCACCTCCAGGGGCCGGTCCCCGTGGTGGCCCCTGCTGCAGGCCAGCACAGCTCACCTCCATCTCCATCACTTCCAGATCCTCTTCAAAGACCTTTTCCGCTTCCTCCTGGTCTACTTGCTCTTCATGATCGGCTACGCGTCAGGTAGGCGCCAGCCGGGCACGGGGGGCCGGGGCCAGCCAGTGCGGGAGGGCTCTCCTCTCGCCGCTGGAAACGGGGGCACAGGGAAGGACGAGCCCTGCGGAGCAGCACCCTAACAGGTGGAGGGAGGTCCTGCCCAGCTCCAGAGCTGGGGCCCAGGCTTTCCCACCTGCGCCCAGGCTCGCTGGGACGTGGCCTCCCACGGCCCCACCGGACTCGCTGTCCCTCTGCTTCTCCCTATCCAGCTCTGGTATCTCTCCTGAACCCGTGTCCCAGTGCCGAGTCCTGCGACGAGGAGCCGTCCAACTGCACGGTGCCCACCTACCCCTCATGCCGGGACAGCCAGACCTTCAGCACCTTCCTGCTGGACCTCTTCAAGCTCACCATTGGCATGGGCGATCTGGAGATGCTCGAGAGCGCCAAGTACCCTGGCGTCTTCATCATCTTGCTCGTCACCTACATCATCCTCACCTTCGTCCTCCTCCTCAACATGCTCATCGCCCTCATGGGAGAGACCGTGGGCCAAGTGTCCAAGGAGAGCAAGCACATCTGGAAGCTGCAGGTTGGCCTCGGGGAGCTGCTGAGCAGGGGGGAGCTGTGGGGCTGGCCGTGCCCGTGGGGCTGGCAATGCCAAGGGAGGTGGCAATGCCCACGGTGGGCTCCAGCCTTGCCTCCAGACCCAATGGCTGAGGGGTCCCTGCTGTCCCCGGCAGTGGGCCACGACCATCCTGGACATCGAGCGCTCCTTCCCGGTGTTCCTGCGGAAAGCCTTCCGCTCCGGGGAGATGGTCACCGTGGGGAAGG